TTCATCTAACATTGTAAAGATCAAATGTAAACTCCTAGCTTCTGCAAAACAGCCCTTACCCTAGGGTCCTGCATATTAAATATTTACTGAATTAATGAAACTCTTCCCAGTTTTACTCCCAAAACATACTTTCTGGTGATTCACAGTTTTGAAGTGTGATCTTCTACTATTTGATTAACAGACATGAAATCTAAGTCCTCAGATATTAAAGGAAGAACTGGGACTAAAAGTCACGTCTCCTGACTCCAAATTGAGTGTTTTGAGGTCCATCACGTGCTTTACCCCAAATCTCTATTCCTAAAGTGAATTAAAACTGTATGACTCAGAATTAGACATCTGGAAAAGCATTTGGGGGACAAAGAACAGTAATAGCAAAGGTCTACAGTAAAAGCTCACAAGAAACTGCAGAATGCCTTAACGCTGTGGGTTTGATGTGCTCCTTCCAATGGGAACCTCTAGAGGGCAGTGCACTCTTCATAACAGACAAGTTCTGCCGTGGGTTTGCAAGAGCTCTGGGAGTGAAAACCTAAAATGTTTGGCATACTTTCTAACAGCTTTCAATCAAACAGGGCACACAAATATCTCAGGCCCAGTCCAATTTTTGGCTGTGTTGGAGAAGAACGCCACTTAACTATGTATTTAGCTATGGGCTTTTTCTCTTTTTCCCTCTCTCCCTAAGCATGAAGGCTCTAATATTTAATATAAAATGAACTTGAAACTTCCCTTATAACACTAACCTAATACACTGAAGTAAAACATATATATTGGTAAAAGTGGAAGTAAAGAACAGAAAGAGAACAGAAGGCTTGCAGAGAACTACTGCCGGTTGAGAGTTGGAGTCAAAATAGGGGGCAGCGGGTGGTAGGAGCTGAGGTTTAAGAGATAGACAGGAGACAGCCACAGGAAAGGAGGTTGAATTTCCTCGTGTAGACTCAGAATGACTTTAGCAAGAGAGGGACTGGGTCAGATTAGTGTTTTACATATAAATCATTCAGGTAGCTCTGGAGAGAGAATGGAGTGGGCCAGGTCTAGAAACCAGGAAGCCATTTGGGAGACTGTCATATCAGTCCAGTTAAAAGAAGGTACATTTGAGATAGGGTAGTGGTGGTAGGAGGGGAGTGGAGAGGATGGGTTTGAGAAATGCGTAGGAGGGGAAATCATCAGGATGTAATGATCAGTTAGATAAAGGGAGTGAGGAGAAGAAAAAAGTTAAGGCAGACATTTTATAACTTGTCACTGGGTAAAGAGAAGGCAACAGAACAAATAGAGGTTTAGGTTGGAGGGAAATGATACATGTAGTTTTTGAGCAATTGAATCCGAAATGTCTGAAGAGTGCCCAAGCAAAGCCTGCCTAGCAGGTGATGGAATTGGTAAGCCTAAAGCTTGGGGGAGAAATTTGAGATGGAGATTGAATTAGAAAGTCATTACCATACAGGTGGTAGCTGAAATCCTGAGTCTAGAAAAATCCACCCAAGAAGAGTATCAGTAATGAGAGGAGCAGTGGGCTAAAACAGAAAGGTAGGTAACCCCAGCATGTAGATGGTGGGTGGAGGGAGAGGAGCCCATGGTTGATAAGGAACAGAAACAAATGAGGCAATATAATATGACTATCACAGACAGTGAGTGGTGCATACAAGCAACATGGCCAAATGCCCCAGAAACATACAGTGAGACAAAGATTGGAAAATGTCCACTGGATTTTCCAACACTGGATTTTCCAGCTAGAATATGGGTGGCCTTACCAAAAGCAGAAGCCAGATTGCAGGGGGTGCAGAGTGAATGGCACATTAAGTGGTCACATTGAGTATCGGTAACTCTTTAAAGATGTTTGGATGAAATAGAAGAAGAGATAGGACATTACTAAGGGGATATGGGGGTCAAAGGTAGACTTCTTTTTTAATGAATGGGAAGGAGATGAGTAAGCTTGTAGTCTGAAGAGGACACAACCCTGCAAGAGGAAGATGTTTCAATAGGGAGGATGGCTGTGGAGCCCAGTCTTGGCATGAGTAACTGGAGTCAGCCTAGAACAAAAGGAGACACTGCATCTTCTGAAACTGGAGAACGATAATGCAGGGTGTGAGTGGAGCTCTGTTCCTAAGGGTGGGGGAGGCAATAAATGGAAGGAGCTCATGCTCATTTGCCTCTATAGAAGGATAATGAATTGAGATATCATTTTTGATAATGCATTTATACTGTAGCAGAGTCTCCAGTGGATGAAAAGTCAGCCTTTGTATTGTGCGCTCCTGATCTTGCCTCCAAGGGTAAGGATCACTTTTGTGCTTCTGGGTGAAAAACGAGTTTCTGGCACACTGAGGTAGCAGCTCCGTCCTAGGCTTTTGTTTGAAGTGGTTATTTAATTGGGATTCTACAAATAGTCACTACTATGCCCACTGTGTGGCTATATTCATACCTGAGGAAGTGACATTGTAGTTGAAGGAAGTGAGTGACAGGACCATGGGGGTAACTCTTCTGGAACAGAGAAAGGGGCCAGTGGCAGAAAGTTGTGCAGCAGGCTGAAAACCAGGCCTTTCCAATACAGTTCCCTGAAGATGGCAGGACCTCCGATGGGGTGGCTTATGGATGTGAAGGGTCCTGAGTTTCCCAGTAGTGAGAACCAGGCCACCTCACCCAAGTTGCACTATGGGTGGAGGCGGGTGGGCGAGCTTAGGAATAGAACTTCCAGCCTTTAAATGGACCTTTCTGGCCCAGACAATAAACAACTAAGCAATGACTGTGATAGGCTAGAGAAAAGAGGTCTCTCCTAGAATTTTCTGCACTGAGCAATCCTCCAAGGATGCCTGACTGCCCCTGGAGAGCAAGACCTCCAATAATGACTGCTACTGACCCTTGCCACACTCTGGAGGGAGAATTTTAAACTTGAATTAACAATGAACAACAACAACAAAAAACTGCTATATGACATTTCTTGCACCTGAGTATTATAAAGAAACTTCAGCCCCAGTACAACTCAATTTTCTGAACAAAGTAGGTAGCAAGTTTGCTAATAGTGAAGAGCATATGAAATGGGTGTTGAAGTGAGGGTCTGAGACCCACAAAAATAGTTTTAAAATATAGAGTCTTGGATTCATGAACTCAAAGAACATTGATGTTGGAAGGGACCTCCTGCTTCCTCCAGTTGAAGCTGCACTGTACCCCTTTTGCATGTATTTTTAAAATTGGAATAATTGAAGCTCAGAGAGGCTAAGGGTTGCATTTAAGGCCACACAGCTTAGCAGAGCTTATGCCTGTTCTCTCTCATTTTGCCTTCAGTTGGAACAGACACCCTTTCCAGCAGCCCCCCTGAGCAATCACTGTGCTGAGTACACCCCTTGCCCACTGCTGTTGCTCCACACAGAGGCCTCCCCAACTCCAGGTCTCACCACAGAAGCTTGAGCGGTCCAGCTCCCTACCCACAGCTGACCTCCAACAGCAGGAAGAAGGAGCTTCAGCTTTGGACCTGGTCCCTGGCCCCACCTGACTCCAGGAGGCTGCCCAGATCAGAACCAGGAGGATGCTGGTTTCATTCGGGAAGACCAAGCAGAAAAAATAAGCAAGAAAGCTCATGGGCCCCCATTCCTTTCCATTCACTTCACTCACACAGGAGGAAACTGAGGCCTCCCAGCAGGTCAGAGACTTGCCCGGCCACCTAGGGCGACTAAGTCAACAGGAAAAGGCTGCTCATTCTGGTTTTTCTTTTTCCAAGCCTCTTTTCCAAACATAGAGCTCCTCATCTGACTGTGCAGAAAACAGCAAAAGCCTCCCTGTATTAAAGTCCCACCAGGAACACACTGTACAGGTCACTCTAACTCGGGCACACACTGAGTCCTGGAAGTGTGGGCAGAGCCAGAGGAGCCCTGAGCCTCTGCCCCTGCCCCTGTTAACTGGGTCACCACTTCACACCGAGAAGTGGGAGGGGAAAGGCAACAATTTGCACTTCGTTGATGGGATATTAATGGAATCAGAGAATGGCAAGGAGAGACGCTATTAAAAGACAAGACCTTCTTCCCTTATAAAATTGGCAGCTCAAGCCCCAGGTCCTTAGAGAGAGAAAGGCCAAACAACAAGGACCAAGGCAGCAATCAGCAGGCTGAGCGATAGTGGCCAAAAGGAAACCACCTGGCTGGAGTCAAAGGTACAGATGGAACCCAAGCCAGGAGACCAAGTTATGTGGAGAAGGAAAAGACAGGGCTGGGCAGAGCCAGAAAAGGCTGTTAGGATACCTTTACAGCAAATTCAAGCCTCAATGGGGTGTATGTGAAGGCATGGGACAGCTCAGCAGGTCCTTGTGGAGCTGCTAAGGAGCCTATGCAGTGTCACCAGTTTGAAGTGTGAGCCGGACAGTTTTCTTCATTATCCTCTCCCTGACATGCACCTAGAGATAAAACTACCTCATCATGTCACATTCGTGGACTTCCATGTCATCGCTCTGTCCTCAAGTTTGGACTCACATCTCAGTTTCTGGGACTTGTAAGACCAGATATCTCAAAGGAAGGCACAATATTCTGCATGGAACCTGATTTTAGACGTACACAACCATTTTTATTTTAATATACTTACTTTTATCATCACCCACTACTTAGGATAAGCAATATTAATTTTATTTATCATTTAAAAATGTACTGAAGTTTAAAAAAAAAGCCTAAATTAATTTAAAGAAAGAAAATTATTCCAGCAAAATTAATGAAGGTGATATACAATAGCCATAAGTCTGGGAAATGCTGCTCAAGGTACTCCCAAACAAGGGGCAACATTGGCTGCAGAATGAGCTGTGTCTCACCATGAGTCTGAAGGAAAAATACAAGGCTGAAACATGGTCTTGTAATAAATGGTGTGAATTCTCCTACCCTCTGTGACTACCCCTGAGGTTTGTTTTGTTTTGTTTGTTTTGGGAGAAGAAGGCTTTTATTGATCTCTTGTATAAACTTTCCAGATGGGCATATTTGATTTTCCTATTTTACAACTGGGGGACTCTGAGGCCTTCTCTATCCCAGATCACTTACAGAGCCAGTGATTAGGTGAGCTGTGAGGGGCTTCTGGCTCCTAATGAAGTCCTCCTACAAAAGAAGCAGAAAAATGTCAGGAGTGACTGTTCCACCTTCTGCCAATGACATGTTGACTGTGTGATAAGAAACAAACTTTGGCCCATGAATGATTATATCCCCATCTTTCCTCTCCATCTCACTATCATCTCAGGCTGAAAAAACAAAACCAGTTAGACAAGGATTTAATCCATAGTAATCTCATAGCATTGAAAAGCCTTCCAAATCTGTGACATTTCTGTCTATAAACCCATCAGGCAGGGATAGTGCCAGGATAAAGATGAGATTCAGTAAATATGTAATGTTGTCAACAAAATAATTTCCTTAAACTCTGACCTTTGATTCAGCTAGTTACTTGTAGAAAACAAATAAAAGCATATTTAAAAAGCATGTTTTTATATGCTAGTGACTATATAAAAACAAGGAAAATTAACTGCAATACAGCATGAGCTGATTAATTGAATTGAAAAACAGGAATGATTTGGTGTTTTGCCTAAAATAACTGAAAACATGAATGATGTAGTATTTTTGTTTAAAATAACTGAAATGTTTTTCAACAAGTTGATTGAGTTCATTACTGCTGTTGGTACAGGCTCTGCCTGTGTTTCCTGGTTGCATAACTTAGAAGTGGGGGATGCCACATACTTCCCCTTTGTCATCTTCTCCTACCTCCTCGTTCGGTTTGGTTTCATGGGGTTCTGCACGTAAGAAAGGAAACAAGATTAATGCAGGTAATCTGACATTTAAGGAAAGATAAAGGAGAACTAGATGTGGAATCATTAAACTGGATTTTAGTCTCTTCCCCTCGTCCTCAGTTTTCCCATGTGTAAAATAAGGTGATAGGACTCCTGAGTCAAGGTTTCTTAACCTGTAGTCCACACCCTTAGCTACATAAACCTTCTAAAAGTGAACATAAAAATCTTTCCTGGAGATGGAATCCATAATTTTTATCTGATTTGCAAGTGACATCAACTGTTGTCCTAGATTATTTTTAAGGTCACTTCCTGATCTAGTATTTTATTATTGTCACAGGCAGAAAATCCCAGCAGACATGCAGTGGCACGGATCCAAGTGACAGAGACGGGCTCAGTAGTTACTGCTTTCCTTATTCTTCTCCCGATGCTGAGCACTCATGACTCTTCACCCTCTCCCAAAGTCACTCCAGGGTCCACACACTCATACATAAGGGGCTACCTTCTCAAAAGAAGGGAACCCTGGGTTCAGAACACAAGACATAACACCTTTGCTGTTATGAAATCATAAAAGAATTCTCGGATGTTCACAAACTAGATCTGCCCAGCTCCCACATCTTATTTTTATTAGCTTTGACTGAAGGGAAAGTTCCTCATGACACTATCAAGGGAAACTTTAGAGTAGTTGAAGTCATATGCTGATTGTTAGAAGCTTCTTAAAAGCATGATTTTGGCTGCCTTCTAAATGTACAGAGGCTGATAAACTGCATAGGAACTGGGGAAATGGGGGTTAGAAGAAGTAATAATAAAATGATGAGCTATTGAAAAGATGTGACCATTTAAAAACTCCCAAACCGATACATTTGTCCATAAAATGAAGCCCCTTGAGACATCAGCATGTTTCCTCTCTTCTTACTAAGCTAAGTGAGAGGCAGGTGGACACTGAGCCTCCTACCTTCTTCATTGACACAGAGATGGTGGGGGAAGCCAAGGGGAGCACCTCTCTTCCATCGACGTCTTCGAGTCTGGCTAACTCTTACCAAACAAGGGAGAAAATATGTCTTAGGTGGAACCATATAAAACTGCCATCTTTGTAAATTAAAAAAAAAAAGGTCAAATATCAGCAATTTCATATGGTTCAACTATGCAATATCTCCAAAGTAGGACATCTTAACCATTTGGGTAATGACAAGGTGTTCCAGACTCATTGTTCTTTGGCAGAAATGACTAACTCTGGAGAAAAAGACAAGAGATAGGTAATTCACTGTGAAATCAAGTTGGTCCATTCTTAATGATTAAAACAATGTCTTAAAAAGACAGAAATGCTTAACTTCCAAGACATCTTTTAAGCCAACCCAGAAAATAGAGTCATGCTTCTTAATTTAACAAATCTCTGTTCAGAGCCTAATTTGCACAAAGCACAGACTGGTGAATATAGGAATATTTGCAGGGTTTCTTGAGATTAATCTGATAGTGAGGAAGAAATCCTTCAATACATGGGGAATAGCTAATGCCACAGGAATTATTTGCTAACAAAGAAAGGCATCTGGGTCATCAGCACCATTTCTGAAACTGTTAAATCTTGACAGTAACCATTACAGCTTTGTTAGGAGCAGAAAATGTCAGGAGCATAAAGAGTAGCCTGACTTATCGTGTTAGTGTTACTGGACATGCGGCCTTCTAAAGAAAGCAATAATGCAGTAAAATACGACTCTGGCTTTGTTATTTCTAGCTGTAGCTCCCCAGGGAAACTGGGCAGTGGGGCCTATGTTCTAGGGGGGATCCCTGTAAAATTTACAGCCTCTGTGGGCAGGAGCAGAGCTCCTGTTGGCTGACATTCCTAGCAAGGCCCATATGTTTGTTCAGCTTTTTCCTGAGGGAGCCAGAAAGGGCTTGCTTCAGTTTCTTATAATGAGTTGAAATTCCTAATAAGAGAAAGCTTTGTGGTTGAGTCAAAATATTAAGAGAAGTAATATGCTGACATTTTAAAATTCAGAACTTTCACCAATTTAAAAGCACACATGTTATCACACTGTTTTCTTAACATTTCTCTTCCTGGTGCAAAAATGAGGCTAATTGCACTCTTGCACATACCCAAGTGGTTTCAGAGAGGATCCAAGGTCTCCACTGGACCCTCAGTTATCAATGAATCCACAAGCATTACTACTTCTAATAGTAGATGATAGATAGTAATAATAATAAACTTGTAATAATAAGGCCAGCTAAAATTTTATGCCAAGGAAGAAAATTTAAGATACAATTCTTGCCATATGGGTTGGAGAAAAAGAATTCATAAATTACTTTAAAAGTTACTAAATAAAATACAGGTAGGACATTCTTCATAATTTCAAAATATACCATATGAATAATAAATGCCATCGGGCTAAGGAGAAAGGGAATCTCAGATGGAAACTGGAGGGGTCTGGAAAGCACTGAGGAGGCAGAGCTTTACTGATGATTTCTTCTTTTGCTTCACTTTTCCACAATGAGAAAAGGAAGGTAAGTTATACCCAGTAAAGAGCCAGGATCAAGAAGCAGGAAATGGCATGTTTGATAGTTAGTGAGTATAGAACAGCTTAGCTGGAAATGAAGGGTGAAATTTTTTTATTGGAGGAGATAAAAACCTAAGTAACTCAAGTCTTAAGTCAGATGGTCTGAAATGCTATTGGAGGTCATGCCACATCTTTTCTTGCAGTGAGCGAGTGAGAAAGACTGATGGTTTGTCCATCTTTTTCTCCATTAAAATAATTGGCACCGAATGTGCCTTGATTTCTGCTCCTCTGAAAAGCAAGTGTACACAAATGCCCAGAAAGGAAGCCTAGTAGCAAATGGATATTCAATTCTGTAGCCATGTCGCAAAGGGGGGGGGGGGGGGGGGGGGGGGGGGGGGAGAGAGAGAGAGAGAGAGAGAGAGAGAGAGAGAGAAAGACAGAGAAAAAAAGCAAGCTAAATTCATTCTTAATACTTCTGACCTGCAAAAACAAATCAGAAGATAACTTTGTCCAGTGCATTAAAACACTCATCCAGGCCTTCTGGGCAATTCTCTGTGATGTGGGAACTCAGTAAGCGGCCTGATAGAGCTGACAGATGCTTTGAGTTTTTAACATTTTTCAGAAGAGCAGCTAGAAAGAAATAGTACCTGGAATCTTTAATAGTCAATAGAAATGCCAAGGAAAGCCCAGCTTCACAAGAATGAAAGGCAGCAAAAGAATAAACAAAAGTTGATTATTTCAACCAAAGCTTACATGTGTCCTCATTTCAGAACCAGTTGAGTTGCTGGTACAGATCTGGGCTCATTAGGGGCATCTGGTGGAGGAAGCCGGATGGCAGGAAAGCAGAATAATCATCTTCATAATCACTAAGATTTGTACAGCACTTTACAAATTGTAAGGCACTTCCAAATATATGATGCAATTTAAAATGCCCAAGGCTGAGTGAGATCAACAGAGTGAGTGTTATCCTCCTTATAAATACATAGAAGTTGCTGGCACATAAGGGACTGCCCTAAGTTATCCCCGGAGTGAGCTGTTGAATCGGTCTTCTGATCTCTGATCCATTGGTCCTTCAACCACAGAATTGTCTTCTCTACCATAGAAGCACAACATAGTTAAAAGATACATGTAAAGAAAACCTTCTCTTTTATTTTGTGCCAATCCAAGATGTCTCTAAGTGTCTTGAAAACGTTATTACTGATTCTAAAATTACATTTTCAGCCCATTATTCCACTGAGTGTTGGGGGCCACTCTGCCTTTTTCAAGGGGAGAAAATTAATGCCCTAGATATTCTTTGTAAATCGTGAATTAACATCTCTCCTGTAAAAAGGATGGCACTGGTTAGCTACCATTTTTGAGAGAAGTGAGAAAATAGTTCCTCAAATAATTTTCTGTGTTCTGTAGATTGAATAAGGATCCCAGTAGTATACTTTATCTTCGAAGGAGGAATGCCTTGTGGATCAGAAGGCAGTATCACGCTTTTTTCTCACGTGTGGCTACTGCAATACAAGTCATGATGATAACAACTACCATTTACTGAGAAGTTATTATATGCCAAAAAACTATAGCAAGTCCTTTACACACATTGCCTGATCTAATCCTTACAACAAATTTGGGATTCAGGTGTTATTACCACTTTACAGATGACGAATGTGAAACTCAAGAAAGTCAGATAACCTTGTCCGAAGTTATACATGGAATAAGAAACAGAACTGAAATTAAACTGAGATCAGTTTCACTCTAAAACCATCCCCTTGCCCATGATACGCTATCACTATAGGTGGTACACTTTACCATTTCCATTGCTGCACAAGGTGATTGCTTCTGCTCCATCCCCTCTTCAACCGTTCCAGAGAAAGAGCAGTTACCACTTCTGAGCAGACCTATAAAAACAATGGTTAAGTAACAAATTGGCCCCTGACATTTGAATCCATGTTGAAACCTAAAATAAGTATAACATCATAAATCATAGAAGAATAGAACTTGGTGAAATCTCAAGTGATCATGAACTCTATTCATATTCATTCAATTAATACTCGCTGAGAATCTGCTGTGTGCCAGATAATGCAACAGATGCTGAAGACCAAAAAATAAATAAATAAATGAAAAGCCATAGTTCCTGCCTTTGAGTAATTTACATTTTTAAGGGAAATACAGGCCTACAACAAACAATGGCAATACCGTTAAGAAGAAGAATAATGAGGTACGTACAAATTAAAGAGGGAGCCCAGTGAAGAGAATGATCAACAGATTGGGGTTCCAAAAATGCTTTCTAGAAAAAGATGCATGAGCTGGATCTTAAAGTAGGAATAGGAGTTTGACAGATAAAATTATGTGGGAATGACACTCCAAGAAAAGAAGAAGAGAACATTCAAAGCCATGGGATATAAAAACATATGCAGTGGGGACCTGCGAATAGTTCAACCTCGCTAAAGTTTAGGATGAGAGTAAGGGTAGTAGAGACATTAGACTAATGAGGCTGGTCATGGAGGACCTTGTAGGTCATTCAACGTGAGATGATACGCCATTGAAATCAGAAGGGAGATTACCATAATAGACAGGGAAAGGGTGGACTAGGAACTGAGTGAAGCAGCAGCACCAGAAGAAATGGGTTAAAGAGGAAAGGTAATAAGGGAAAGGTAATAAGAAAGAAAGAAGAAAGAGAGAAGGAGAGAAAGGCTGATTGGAGCTGATTTTACATCCCAAATTTATTTACATGTCTCCAAATAAGCATGCATAGGAATTCTCTAACCCTCTTTTTTCATAAAGATTGTAGTCTTCAGCTTTAATTTCCTACCAATCAACCATTTTATTTTATTTTATTTTTGAGACAGGCTGTCACTCTGTCACTCAGTCTGGAGTAGAGTGGTGTGATCTCAGGTAACTGCAACCTCCACCTCCCAGGCCCAAGCAATTCTCCCACCTCAGCCTCCCAGGTAACTGAGATTACAGGTGCTCACCACCATACCCAGCTAATTTTTGTATTTTTAGTAGAGACGAGGTTTCACCATGTTGGCAAGGCTAATCTTGAAATCCTGAGCTCAAGTGATTCACCCACCTCGGCATCCCAAAGTTTTGGGATTACAGGTGTGAGTCACTGTGTCTGGCCCCAATCAAACATTTCTTATACAAATATAGAAAGGATCATATGGAACAATAACCAACTTATATATAAGAACCTGTTTACTCTTGTCACTTCATAAAAGTTAAGTGGAACCTGGGGGAAAAGGTAAGGGTTATAGTAGTGTACCTTGTCATGAAGAAAAAAAAATGAGTTCTCAAATAACACACATTAAGAGACTATTTTTGTATATAAAAGCTTGACCATTTTTTTAAATGTTTAATTGGGTATCAGGTCTTTAGGGTGCAGTGTTACAATAAAAACCTTGAAAAACTAAAATACATTCATATTAATGCTTTCTCCTCATAAATGCCTTGAATTACAAATAAAGAATTACCACAAGATGAAATAAGGAGGAAAACTCCTTCTATTTTAAAGACTAAAGAGTGAAAGTAGGGAGGAAATGAACTGAGATGTCTCATGTGTGTCTAAGTAAGCAAGAAAGGAGAATTGTTAAAGGACATTCTAATTATGATTAGGATAAAGGCCAGTTCAGCTAAGCTGTCACATCTGGCTTCTAGTGATACCATTCTACATAATGGAAATAATAAGTTAAGGTAGTAAGATTGTTGGAGTCTCTTATGAATATTAGATGTATTTCCTCAGTGAGTCAGACTTAGAATGTCAGAGAGATCAATTTATGTGATTACAATTAATAAGGTAATTAAGAAATAGAGACAGCTCAAGAGGATATTGCCTGATAATTAATAACCAGCTGGAAAGGATAAGGGTCCTAGGGAACGGTGAATTAAATGAAGATCAGCTTGGAGAATTTCTATCAATAAGATATGAGCTATTTTTTAAGGCAGTCAGGGTTAGTATCTGAAGGCCATCTGCTAAAAAATAAAACTCTAATTAACAGGATTTTTGGAATTTCATGTCCTATAACATTTTAGAGAGGCCAGAAAGAAAGTCAGAAATAGGCAGGGAGAAGGTAAGAAGAAAGAAGATCAGAAACAGGCAGGGAAAAGGTAAAGGTGAACGGCACTGTTCATGGAAAAGAGCACGTAGTCTAGAGGGAAGGACCTGGTTCTACCTCCGCCTCTGCCAGAGATGAGCTGTGCCAAACTGGAAGGAAGCACTTCTCTTCAGGGCTCCAGTTTCTTCATTTATAAAATGAGACGATTGAACTGTATAGCCTCTATGGTTCCCTGTAGCTCTGAAATTTGAATTATAAACACAGGTCCTTAACAATGACAACCCTTAAAAACTAAAAATGAATACTCGGGCCAGAACAATAAGTGGTCATTGTTGGCTAATGGTGTTGACTAGATACCAACAAGCATCAAAGCCCCTACTTTAAAGAAAAAAATTAAAAAGAAACATATGGAAGGAATTGTCCCATTTTCTTAAGTCATGCACCTGAAAATGAAAATGAAAAATAAAGCAAGGGACTATGGTTTATTTTTCCTTGCAGCTCCTGATACTTGTAACCAGATAATTTATGGTTACAGGAGGTCTAGCTACAACTGTTGACAAAATACCCCTTGTCATAAGAAACAACATAAAGTATTCATCTCAAAGTTCAATCCCCTCAGTGACAATGTTCTCTAGAAACCAAAACTTAAAAATCTCTGTTACTTGTTAAACTAGGAAGTGTCCTTGCTAATCAGACACTCTGGTGGTTAGGTAAAAACATCTTTGAAGAAAGGCACCAAATATCTCATGTACACAGAGGCAAGTGACAGAACAGACAGCTGCTTGCTGGGACCTCAATTTATTTACCTCCTACTTCTCCAAAAGGCTTCAATACCTGAACATTGACTGAAGTTTCTGGGCTGAAGTTTACACAAATGGAACTGAAGGGTCAGAGCAGAGAGTTGCAAAAGTCAAGTTTCCTCAGGCCAAAAAGCAAAGTAGGTAGGTTAAACAGGGAGAGGACAAAAGCCTTCATGCCACAGTATACTCACCCAAAACCAAACAAAAGCAACGTGTGGGAAGAATAATGGCAGAAGTTAGGGAAGAGTCCCTTTCTCCTCCTTAAAAGCCCACCATACTGGGAGAATGCAATGTAAGGGTCAAGAAAGCAGCCACGTCTGGTTTCTACCATCATCAATGTAGTAGTGGAGTTGGGGAAAAACATTTTACAAAATCTAATAATTTTCTGATATATTGAGGCAATGTGGGGTCATTTAGAACTTGAATATAAAGATATCAGAAACTGCGGCAGGAAAACATGCCACTGAGAGAAATAAAATGGTCAAGCAATGGAGTCTCTTTCAAAGTTTCTGCCCCTGTCCCCTTGTTCTCCTCTGGGCCATAAGCTGCTGCACATTTGGGTGGATGGAAAGGCCTGAAACATCTAATTGCTGGGCCCTTCCCAAGGGCCTCAGATGTTCTCTCTTCTCCACAAGCACCTAGGTACCAGAAAAGCCACGTAAGAATGAACAGCAAGGCCAGTTTTCAAAGGGGAAAACAAGAGTCACTTGGTGACAGGCAGCTTGTCAAGCAGGTGTAAACAGATAAGGGCTGTGCCCGCCCCCCTCCCCCCAACCCACCATTGGAGAGGGATGATGGGCAGGCTGTGAGGCAGGAGGTAAAGCTCATTGTTGGTGTCCCTGCAAATGACTGTAGCACTTTCAGCACCTCTGGCAAGGCTCTTTTCTCTGGGACTCCTTAACACAGCTTACCAGCCTCTATAGTGCCCTCAAGGTCATCCAGCAGCTTCCCAAAAAGTAGCTGAAGAATCACAATTCCCAACTCTGAGGTTCTACTTGTATCCTTGTTTCCCAAGTTGAGCAGTGATGTAAATTCCAAGAGTAGAGCACCAAATAAATTGGGCGCACCAGATAAAACAGACTCCCTTCTATGGATACCGCACATCAAAGGGAACCCATTCTTTCAGGCCCCAAAGAGTAGAAAAATTATTTTGGCAGTAGATGGTTTGAAAGGATTGTAGTTTGTGATTAATTATTTAAATCCCAAGTATTTAACCTAAGACATCCAGATAGGTAATCAGTGAATAAAGCACTTGTTGGGTTTGTTTTGTTTCACAAAGCAGTTTACTTGGAGAAGGGAGATACCATAGCATGGCAGTATACAGAAGTAATAACAATGGACCTGAAGTCACCTAGAAGAGCAGCCATGATAGTTAAATACACTAACCAGGACATCTCTATGTCATGCTTACATTTTTCGTTATAGCTCAAATGTTTTATAATGTGGAAAGAGTAACGAGCTAAGAATTCAAATCTAGCTTCCAGTTCAAGCTCTGTCACCAGCCAGTTATGTGACTTTGGGCGATTTACCTCCTTGGACTCAGTTTTCTTACCTATAAAATGAGGAGACTGGTGACTTGTAAAATTTCTTCAAGTGCCAATTAATGGCCCAATAATCTTGGACCATGATTATAAGAACGCTCATTTAGAAGAAAAGAACATCACAGTCTGGTCAGAAATTTCAAGACAACCATCCAGACACACTTTGTCAATTATGCATCACTATGACACTTTGAGCATAAGAAGGCAGCAGTATTAATGTGTCAGAATATGCAATACTGTTTTATGAGTTTGCAGGCTGTAACACAGTGGTTATCAACCAGAAACCACTCCCACTGCCTCAGGCAGGAGATACCAGTCAATGTCTGGAGACATTTTTGGTTGTCACAATTGGAGTGGGGTTGGGGTGTAAGAGGCTGAGGAGTGGGAGGATATTACTGGCATGTAGAAAGTGGAGGCCAGGGCTGCTGTCAAACATCCTATAATGCACAGGACAGCCTCCACCACAAAAAATTATCTGGTCCCAAATGTCACTAGGGCCGAGGTGGAGCTCTATGAATACAATGGCTAAGCAGATAGCTGAGTCATGAAACAGGTAGGTAACCTGGAGAGATAAGCACCCTCACCTTTACTAGGCTGTGCCCATGTGAGGATGAGGGCCTGCTGCTACAATCCTCCAGTTCCTCCTAAGTCATCAATCTAGATTTTATAGGAACTCATCTGACTTCTGAATCATGGTGACGACTCATCAATTCTTTTAACATACTAAATTTATGGGGGAAAGGGGACTGTCAGATTCAGACTGCAGGCTGCTGGTGTGCCACCTCTGTTTTAAGTCTTAGGTGGCAGACACCCAACTGCATTCCCCTAGCCTGCAAGAGAAACTGTTCAAAGGAAATATGGCCACTTGAACTATTCTGCAATTCTATAAGGTTAAATAGTTGTTCAGGGGCAAGGGACTGTCTAGTTGCACAACTAGGAAAAACATGCAGTGAATGATGAGGAGCAGCACGTTAAATGCATTTTTCTTATTCAATCTTGAATTTAGCCTGTATTCAGGTTTTGTTTATGTTAATGCCAACTTGATTTTCTCTTCCTTTAAGTCAGATTTAATCCAGGAGCCCCAGTGCTGCTCAGAAGAGATAAAGCATAAGCCGACTGGGCACGGTGGCTCACGCCTGTAATCCCAACATTTTGAAAGGCCGAGGCGGGCAGATCACCTGAGGTCAGGAGTTCAAGACCAGCCTGACCAACATGGTGAAACTCAGTCTCTACCAAAATACAAAAATTAGCCAGATGTGGTGGCAGGTGCCTGTAACCCCAGCTACTCAGGAAGCTTAGGCAGGATAATTGCCCAAACCCAGGAGGCGGAGGTTGCAGTGAGCCGAGATCATGCCATTGCACTCCAATCTGGGAGCCTGGGCAAAAACCCCGTCTCAAAAAAAAAAAAAAAAAAAAAGCAAAAGCCTTTCCAAACAAGGCCACAACCTTTTTAATGAGCTGTCCTCAGTCTCAGCCCCTTTGAATGCTGTAACTTTCTTAGGAGGAGTAGTTACTACAGAGCCCTCATGTTTCACGAGGCATGAAATTTGAAGGCTCCATAAACATTTTTTTTTTTTTTCCAGCAGGGGAACACAGGGATTCAACAGGATCTCTGCTATGAGGAGCCTGGTTAGATATGAGGAGGTTTCAACACCTTTCCTCACTAATTCCTTTTGGGATCTCTGCTATGCCTAGTAGTGAGGAAAGGTGTTGCTACCTCTTCATATCTAACTAGGCTCCTCATTGGTATCATTAACTAAAAACCACCCGGCTGGCCCTGGACTTTTCACTGCTCATTGATGGAACTTTTATCTGGCCTTTTTCCAGGTTCAGACACCTGACTTGGACAGCAGACACTCACTTTGGAGCACTTGGCGTGGACTTTCTCAAATAACTAAATAGTGATTCAGTGTTCTATCACCTAATACTATCTGGAAGTTCTGGAACCCAAAGGTAAGGTTGCTTACTGGTAACTTTGAAGAGAAGGTGACCATACATTATGGTTTCTAAAGCACTTTCAGCTCATCTCACATTGTTTTCACATCTATTGTGACTGTGATACACAGAGCACACCTGTGAACTCTGTAGGATTGTTCTTACTATACACATTTCATGGATAGTACAACTAACCTATATAACAATCCATGGGGAAGGTAGTGTAGCACAGATTATGGAGCAGATTGCCTGGGTTCAATTCCCTGGGTTCAAAGTTGTTTCTTATCAACTATACAAGCTTGGACAAGTTTCTTTAGTTTTCTGTGTTTCATTTTCATCATCTGCAAAATGAGAATAATAGCATTTACCTGATATGGTTTGGATGTGCATCCGCTCCCAGTCTCATGTTGAAATGTGATCCCCAATGTTGGAGGTGGAGCTTGGTGGGAGGTGTTTTGGTCATGGAGGCAGATTCCTTGTGAAAGTCTTGGTGCTGTCCTTGAAGTCATGAGTGATTTCTCACTCTGTTAGTTCACATGAGAGTTGTTTAACACAGCCTGACATCTCTCTTGTTCTCCCTCTTGCCATGTGACATGCCTGCTTCCCCTTCACCTTCTGCCATAATTATAAGCTTACTGAGGCCTCATAAAAAGTCAAGCAGATGCTGGTGCCATGCTTCTACAGACTTCAGAACCATGAGCCAAATAAATGTCTTTTCTTTATAAATTACCCAGTCTTAGGTATTCCTTTATAGCAATGCAAAATGTACTAACACACTACCTCATAGGGTTGTCATGAGACTTAAAAGAGTAAATATATATGTAAAGTACTTAGGAAATGGCCTGGCACAAAGTAAACACTGTAGCATTAACTACTAATGTCATTTTCCAGAAGAGAAAACCAAACTACTGAATATCCCTGGCAGTCTGACAGCTGGGAATGGACTCAACCATTTTACGGTCACTCAACGAAGACATCAAGAAGCAAAGTGCGGAGTGATATGTCAGTTGCCCATCATGCAAGAGGGACATTGAGAATTTGAAACCTTGGTCCCTTGACTTCATATACAGTGTCTTTCCATCTCACCATGTGGCCTTGGGTATGATAGCATGCCTGGGAGAACAAGCAATGAAGGTGTAAAGATGTATGCAACACAGCAACTTGTTATATCTTACTTTGAACAGTACCAAGAAAGTCTTCATGAAGTGCTGAAGTATATGAAGACTATGGCTCTCTGGAACCAAAAGCTGTGGGAGCAAGAATAAAATTAATCAGTGCAGAAACACAGTTCCTGAAAACCTGTGGAGCTATTACCATTATCTCTGAAATGTGTGTGCCAATACACTGGCAAAAAGCACTCACTTCCCATAGAAAGTTCTTTGAGTTCAGTTACACATATCAAGCTGAGCTGGAAGTGAAAATAATTGCCTACTCCAGCACTGGAGAGTTTCAAATATATAGCAACTTGCTGGGTGTCCAGAAATTGATCACTTCATCATCCAACAATCCAGCCAGGGGAGCAATTGCTCCAGTAGAAAGGTTAACAGGCAAGAAAATGAATCAGCGTCTTATGGTTACAAATATGTTTTTGCTGCTCTCACTAAAAATTGCTGTGATTTTTTTTTTTTTTTTTTAAGTTCGGATGCCTAGGTATTTTACTGCTGAGGCTATCAAGCCATTGAGCTATTGTTACAACAACTGACCATGCCATGATAGCATTATCATGGCTGTTTTTCTGTTGTTATGTGGTCAGCATTATGGATTGGGAATAAATTTGAGCTATGTGCTGATCTGCTTTCCAGCATGCAGCATTATTGACTCTGAAGGAGCTTTAGCTTTGTAGACTGTGGATGTATATTGAGAATAATATCAGGGTGCAGATATTACCAAACCTTTATATGTTTGGTTTGTTTCCTAATAAAACACCCATAAGATCTTCCAGGGGGCCCACTTCAGTTAAGCTAGGAATTCACTCAGCCTATTAATATACTAAAATGCCAAGTCAGGGCTTCTCTGATTGTTGCTGCATGCAGTAGGATGTGACAGTTTTTAGAAGTGGCTTGTTTAAAAGCTTTGCACTTCCTTGGAAGAAGGGTTCATGTAATAAGACTAAATAATTATTACGATCATCATACATATTCATTAGACAAAATTATTTTTCAAGTATATACAGAACAAAATATGCTAGGTTTTAATTCTAAAATAGGATGACACCATTAGTTGTTTTTTTTTTGTTTTTTTGTTTTTTTTTTTGAGATGGAGTCTCACTCTGTTGCCCAGGCTTGAGTGCAGTGGCATGATCTCAGCTCACTGCAACCTTTCCCTCCTGGGCTCAAGCGATTCTCCTGCCTCAGCCTCCCTAGTAGTTGGGACTACAGGTGTGCACCACCACACATAGCTAATTTTTTTTTTTTTTGTATTTTTGGTAGAGACACAGTTTTACCATGTTGCCCAGGCTGGTCTTGAACTCCTGGGCTCAAGTGATTCACCTGCCTTAGCCTCCTAAAGTGCTAGGATTACAGGTGTGAGCCACCACACCTGGCCAGGATGACATCTTTATAATGTAGGTGTGCCTCACTTTAAATTAACCGGTAGTTTTCTGAAATGTCAAATGTGTGTAGTAATGTTCAAGCTGGACAAGTCTCTCCCTGGGTGTATGTTATCTAACTAGTATCTTTTCTACAGAGGCCTTGCTCACTCAAACCTAGTCTCTCTTTAGTTACCAAGAACATAACTAGATAATCTTTTGAGGCCACCCATTCCCAGTTCAACATTCCATTCAACATTATCTACACAGAGATCTTATGTGTAATATTCAGAAAACAAAAGACTTAATTTGAGAAGAGCCAGAGTGAAACTAGAAACAGATATACTTGGCAATTAAGTTAGATAAATATCGGTAATTCCAGCATATATTACCCAGGTGTGGTCTTATTTCATCTTTCCTCACAAAGGAATTAGTATAGTCTTTTGGCCCTGGGTGGCTTAGTTCAGAGTCCTCTTCTTGCATCATTATCCTTTGGGATTCTTGATGACACTCCCCATGGGGGTTCTCAGATTCTCGCTGCATTCTCTCAGGGTTCCCCTCTACCTTCAGAAAGTTTCTTTGTTACAGCACATTCAGCTGTTGGTGCTTTCACCTTGGCTTCTTGATCTCCTCTGCACATTTAAGCAGGGCTTTATCTGATGCTAACAGTTTGGCTGTGCTTGCCATGGTAACATTCTCTGCATCTAGTCCCAGGTTTGCACATCTTACTGTGGTTCCCCTGCCTCTTAGGTTAGGTCTCAGACATACCCCACAATCTTTCTCAGCTGGGCTACAGAACATCTGCTGGCATCTGGGGAGTTTAGGACAAGAGGATAGAGAAGATGTGACTCTGGACTCCTAGCTATGCTTCAGCTCAGGCAGCTTGACTTTGAGCTCTATTATGTATCACGCTCTGGGTAAGACTTCTTTTGAAGCAAGATTTTCTTGGCAAACAAGCAAATGGAGAAGTTTACATACTAAAATGATGGCAATTACTTCTTTCTTAAGTCACCATGTGGTCAGGGAACCTTCTGTTTATATTCACTTTCTGGTTACCTATTACTATGTTACAAAGCCGTACAAAACTTGGCAGCTTAAACAGACGAGCATTTTATTATATCTCCAGGTGTCATGGGTCAGAAATTCAGAGAAGGCTCAGGCTCAGCTGGGTGGGTTTTCTTTCTCTGCGTGGCTTGAAGGAGCTCACTCGGGGGTATTCAACTCTTAGGTGGGTCTGAATGGTCCACAACAGCTTCTCTCTCATGTCACTTGATGGTGACAGCAGGAAGTCTGGGCTTAGCTGGATCTGTCAACCCAAAGTGCCTACGTGTGGCTACTCCAGCATGGCAGTCTCAGGAAAACTGGACTTCTTATATGGAGACTCAGAGATCTCAAAAATACTGTTCTAAGAAACAGAAAGTGAAAACCTACAGATGTGTAGGGCCTGGGCTCAGAAAGCTGGCACAGTGTCACTTCTGCTATTATTCCATTGGTCAAAGCAGTTACAAAGCCCATCCACATTCAAAGGGAAGGCAACAGACCTCTACTAAAAATAGTAGCAAAGAATTTGTGGCCATCTTTAATCTACCGTAGTTACAGACCTTTAAATGCTGCCATCTTTAACCCAAATGACCATATGGTCAGTGACTTCACCACTCCCACTTCTCTTTCTGATCTCAATTCACTTTCTTGTCTTGCACTCTACCCTGGCAAAGATAATCACGCTGCTGAGTTGACGTATACTGACCAGTCTAAGGAATCATGGCCTCACATTGTTCACTATACATTTCTGAACTGACTTCCAAGAGCACCGTCTGCATTCCCTATTAGTCCTTCCCACTTTGTGAAGTGCGGAAGTTTCCCTTTAGCTATGGTTGTCATATAAAAGAAGGGGCATGTAGTTAAACTTGAACTTAAGACAAACAACAAACCTTTTTTTTTATTATAAGAATGTCTCAAATATTGCATGAGACATACGTATACAAAACAATTGTTTAATCCCACAGCCCTAATATTTTACTGACATGATTAAAGCAATTACTTATACACATATCACAGTTTAACAATGGAGACAAGAGTCACAGAATTATTTTAATTCTTTGACTTTTCTTTCCCATAACATGTGGTTTATTATCACACTGATTGGGTGAGGGTGAGAGGAATCCAATACTGAGATCAATCAAATCTTATGACTACCACTTTGCCTAAATATATTAATACATAAATGGCTTTTACTAAACAAACTTCCTTGTTTAGCAAATCCTTCTATCATTCCTTTTTGAAGTTAAAAAAAAACCTCTGCATTTAAATGTAGCTACATTGCAAATGTAAAGTTAGTCAAAAGTATTTATTGAGCGTGTACTTTATGATAAGTCAGTAACAATCAGCATGTGCTTCTTGACTGGGAGGAGTTCAGAGTCTAGGAAGGTTACAGAAATGTGGACAGATTATCACAGAGTAATGTAATAGGACTTACAATAAAATAAGAAAAGGGTTCAGTAGGTATGACAAAAAAGGCTTAGGGAATTTGACATCATAGAGGAGGGAATATTTGGTCTGATCTTGAAGAAGAAGTAAGACTTACCCAGGCAGAAAAGGAAGCCAAAGTCACTCTTAGCAGAAAACAAAAACAAATAAACTTGTACGAATGAACATCTATGAAGGATCCTGCCATGTTTGTGTAGCAGAGAAGGCTCTTGGTCTAGTCAAAGCTGGAGAAGAGGCACTGGAGCCCCATTTGCTCAGATTCACCCATACTACAAATACATAAAAAGGATGAGGTCCCTAATTCATCCTAACATTTAGCAACAGCAAGAGGAAGACTAACAAAAGCAAGTGATCACAAGGCCCAACAAATAATCAAAATAAAGGCAAGAGGAAAGATGCCCAACTTCAGCAAGAATGAAAAGAAAATTGGTGCTATAGCTCCCACAACTTTAATTCTCCTCTCACTATGGCAAAAGCAAATTTTGTCCATGAGAGTGGCCTGGAAGATTACAGAAAATAGTTTACAAGTTTTCAGTTTTAGAGGTAATCAGTAAAATATTTCTCAGACCCACTGTGTGAGAAAAGGAGCAAAAATTCTTCTAACGATTCCATTAGAAATCCTATGATAGCAAGGTCCCAAGCAAGCTAGAAAGCAGGTTCCTGTGCACACAGAAGCCATGTATATTTGGGTACTGCATACTTG